ACCTCAGCCTCCCAAAGGCGCGGGATTACAGGCTGAGCCACCGAGCCCGGCTCGAAAATAGTCTTTTTTTAGCCTGTGACTTTAAGCAAGGTCAGTCACTCCTGTAGTTAAATAATGACCACTTATTACTTTTTCGCCAGCTTCACAAATAGATTGTTTTTTTTTAAACAAAGATCATTCTTGCTCATACCCAAGAGGCAGCAGAGCAGAAAGAGCACAGGCTACCAACAATCTGTGATATGCTGTCAGAGTAAAATACACACTGGATTTCCAACACTTTGCATGGAAAAAAAAGAAACAAAAATATCTTACTAATGGCTGGGCACAGTGGCTCTCATCTATAATCCAAGAACTTTGGGAGGGTGAGGTAAGAGGATTGCTTGAGCTCAGGAGTTTGAGACAAGCCTAGGCAACATAGGGAGACTGCATCTCTACAAAAAAAATTAAAATATTAGGTGGGCATGGTGGTATATGCATGTAGTCCCAGCTACTTGGGAGGCTGAGGTAGAAGGATCGCCTGAGCCCAGGAGGTCGAGGTTACAGTGAGCCATGATCCCCACAATATTCCAGTCTGGGCAACAGAGTGAAACCCTGACTCAAAAAAACAAAACCAAACAAAATCTCATTAATATTGTTGTACTGTATATATGTTGAATTAATATTTTGGCTATTTTAGATTAAATAAATAGTATTGAAGTTCATTCTGTTTGTTTCTTTTTTATTTTTGAAAATGTGGCTCCAGTACATTTAAAGTCACATTTGTTGCTTACATCATTATTTCCATCGGCCAGTGCTGGGTGAGGATGTTTTAGCTCAGGTTACAACTGAGTTCTACCAGGAGGCCCTTCCACACATTGTTCACTGTCCCTCCACCTTGGGTTTCTTCATTTGATGTCAAGGGCTTGAACTAGATGCCTTTTAAAATCCCCTCTGGTTCTAACATTCTAGGACTTGAGGGTTCAATAGTTACTGCTGGTGGAGAAAAAGTACAAGAACCAGGTGATGACAGAGTTGTAACTAGGAAGGGGCTGGGCCCAGGACTGGGCACCAAGAAAAGCATGGGGCGTCGCTTAGAGTCACCCAGCGGCTCATGTATCCTGGGGCTGGAGACAGCACTGTTTACACATGCCAGCTCTGCAGCTGACGAAGGGTATTTGAGGAAAGCCCTGCTCTGATATGGGGCTGGCTCTCAGCCTCAGTCCACATGTCTTCTGCTAACAGATGAGCTGGTCTTCAGCTCTGGAGCACAGCTGATGGGTGGCATGCAGTGTCACTTAAGCTCTGGGTTCTTCAGGACAGAAGTACAAACCAGTTGCAAAAAGGTTCCAGAAGACTGACTTCACTATTGTGCTACCCATCTGCACAGAAATTCAAGAAGTGGGGGGGGAATCAACTTGTCAGTTTTATTCATAATTGCCTAGACTTGGCAGCCCCCAAGATGTTTCTCGGTAGGTGAGTGGATAAACTAGTACATCCATACGATAGAATAGTGTTCAGCACTAAAAAGGAAACGAGCTGTCAAGCCATGAAAAGACATGGAGGAGAAACTTAGATGCAAGTTACTAAGGGAAAGAAGCCAATCTGAAAAGACTCCATACTGAATGATTCCGACTATACAACATTCTGGAAAAGGCAAAACTATGGAGACAGTAAAAAGGTCAGTGGTTACCAGAGGTAGGAGGGAAGAAAGACTGAAGGGGGGCAGGGGGAGCTGTGCATGTGTGGGGATAGGGGTATATAGAAAATCTTTGTACCCTCTCCCCAGTTTTGCTGTGAACCTAAAACTGCTCTAAAAAATAGTCTATTTACAAAAAAACAACTTGTCATTCATATTGTATGTGTAAGACCTAATCCCAACTTTAACAATCATAAATTCTGTGGCTATCACATGTCTAAAAGAATCAATAAAAATAAAAAGAAGACACATACAACTATTAGTTTCTTTTTCTTTTTTTAAGTCAGGGTGTCACTTTGTCACCCAGGCAGGAGTATAGTGGCACAATCATGGCTCACCCCAGCTTTGATCACCTGGGCTCAGGCAATCCTTCTACCTCACTCTCCCGAGTAGCTGGGATTATAGGCACATGCCAACACGCCTAGCTAATTTTTATTTTTATTTTTTATTTTTTTGTAGAGACAAGTCTCACTGTGCTGCCAAGGCTGGGCTCAAGCTACTGGCATCAAGCAATCCTCTTACCTTGGCCTCCCAAAGTGCTGGGAATATAGGCATAAAGCACTGCCCTAGGCCACATGACTGTTCATTTCATCCACAGCATCATTCTCTATTGTTTGTTTCTTGGAACCAGTTAATGGCACCTTCTGAATTACTTGGATTGCAAAACAGTTTCCTCCTCAACCCCCAGCCTAAGCACAGCACCTAGGGGTCTCATAGTCAGCCCCAGTTATCTTTCTAGGCTCACTTTCCACCATTCAACAACATTCAGCAAACATCTACTTGGTGCCACTCAGGTGCCAGGTAGCTGGGATGCAATGGAAAGTAAGACTGAGTTCCTTTCCTTAAGGAACTTTTTTTTGGGGAGGGGGAGCTGGCACAGAAAAAGCCAAATAAAAGCCAAGTGTAATTCTGTGAAAACTCAGTGATAAGTATAGGATACTTGCCTTAGAAGCACCTACCTCCAGCTTAGAGGATCTGGGAAAGCTTTCTGGAGGAAGTGAGATCTAACTTGGCTAAGAAGTGACCAAAATAGGAGGGGAAAGGAAGAAACAGCCTATGTAGGAAGAGTGACAGGTGCACAAGTCCAGAAGCAAAAACAAACAAGGTGCATTCCCAGAAGGCAGGAAGTCAGAGGGGGAAGGGGCCAGTGGGTGAAGCAGCCAATGGCAAGAGAAGAACCTGGAGAGGTGAGGTGGGGCCCAACCCTGAGAACCTCAACTGCCCTATGAAGGAGGTGCCAGTGGTCTCAATCTAAGGCAGTGGGCATGAGGATAGTACACCCAGGCCCGTCTACCTAGATTCCTGCAGGATCAAGTAGCTTCCCACTCCCCAACCACACCATGGATGCTGGGCTGGCTCACTTTTGCATGAGCTGTCCTTTCTGCTTGAATGTGTTCTCTTTCCCTGTCTTCTTTCCTTTTAGGAAATCCCACATTGGCCTATTTTAGGGGTCTCTCAAAGTTTTCCTCTTTTATAAACCTGCCCAACCCCAAGACTGAATCAGTCATTCCCTGCCTCATACACACACTTCTTTGTAATAGAAACTTTGGAGGAGGGATGAGAAATTAATATCTTCTTTCTTTCAGAACTGCCTCCTTTAGCGGCAGGCAGCCTGACAGCCACATTTGGGCAGCATGACCATGTCCCTTGGACATAGCTAAAGAGTCGGAGGAAGACTCTGGACCCAAATCTTGCCTCTCACTTATTACACAGGGCTGGGAGATGCTAGTAGGTCTTTTACAGGTGCTTTAGCTGGGAGAACATTTAATCTTAGGCAACCTCTGCCACTGTAAAGAGGAGAGAAAGCTGAGCACAAAAACAAACTCCTGCCATGGTCCTTGACAAATCCAGTGTTTTGTCCTAGTCACTCAAGATCTGTGATCAAGTGCCCTGACACTGAGTGACCCCTACATCCTTCAAACCAACCCTTGACTTTTGGTGTGAGCTAGCTGGAATGGGTTTTGGACAATGCTATCAAATAACCCCTAAAAAAGACACTTTTTATGGCTCTAATGCCTTTCTACAGCAATTACTCATTTCTATACTAAAGCCAAAGCTGATACAGACATGACATGAGTACTGTCACTCTCCTAGCCGATTCCCACTGTAGACATGACAAAGCGATCACAGCACTCTCTATCTGGGCCTCATAGGCCATCACCACGATGCTCCACATGGTCCCAAAGGAGTCAGCACACATGACAAAACTTACCGGCAATCAGTGTTCTAGACTGGAATATACTGGAAGCAGGCAACTATGTCCTTTTCATCATCTTAATCACATCAAGCCCTGAGCTTGACAAAAGGTCAGCATGGAATAAATACTTGCATGGAAGATAAATTACGACTATATGTTTTCTTGTTCATGCCTGCCTCTTTATTCACTCATGTTCGCTCAATGGAAGCCCAGACAGTGTTCATTCTTTCCCCATCTCAAAATAAGGTAAGTAATTAAATTATCAGTGAAACAGCTAAAATGGAACGGTGCATCTCGGCTTCAGGCACACATTTATAACCCATCTCTGCCTATCTACAGCTTGTTCTTCTTTTCTATCCCTGCAGACATGGCCACATTTTAAAGTTACATTGATTTGGGACAATAGCCTCTAAAATCTTTACAGAATCAGACCACTGTGTTCTTTCTGTCTTCTGACTTAATTATATGCCTTCATAAAGTGTGGCCTACTAACTTATGTGTAGACTCTTTTGCCAGTTTAGCCATAAAATATTTCATAAATATATATGCAATCTGAAAAAAAATCTAATTACAAAACGATAACCCATAAACTTCAGGAACTGAAAATCCTGCAAACTTCAGGAGCTATAAACTCCAGGAAGCCTGTAAATTTCAGGAACTGTGTCTGTCACAGCAAAGCCAAGCCTTTTCCTCTCCCACTTAATTTCCTTATCATACACTGCCCTCAAGCAACTCAGGCTCTACCTTGTCCAATCGCAGCAAAACGTCATTCTGAATACCCTGATAGGCTATGATTAGTGAACCCACAAAAACGAGCATCTTAAAAATCAGTAACATACCAACTCCATTAATTGTTTGAGCTGACCTATCTCTTCTGGTAATGATCCAAGTTTGTTGTTACTTGCGATTAAGACTTTGAGAGGCAGACCACACAGGCAGGCAGGCAGGGCGGACAGCTGATTTCGACTGCAAAGACAATGCAATAAGAACACACGTAAACAGAAAGGCCATTTCATACTGTCTGTGAACACGTTTTTAACAAGAAAGGAAAAAGGAGTGAACTGAGAAGACATTTTACAAATACAAAAAGTCCAATACACACATTTTCTCCAGGTATAATAACTCAAATTACAAGTACGTAGGAAAATGAAATTTATGTTTAAAAAAGAAAGTCACGGGGAGTTCTAAGGGAGGCATCTTTCCCCAAAACGAGGAATGCCCTCAAGCCCCCTGCAGAAGCTGAGCCCTGGGCCAGCCAGAAGGTAGATGGAAAATACATCCTACACAACTAATAGCAATGAGAAGCTGGTGCCAAGTGTCTTCTCCTGACAGTGTGTACAGGAAACTCTGTTGGACCAAAGCAACCAACACCACAAAGGCATCATTTTGTCCATTTTAGCAGTGATGGGGAATATCATTTTGCTGCAACTCATAAAACCACCGGGCTAATTTCCAACATTTTGACTCAGCTTCCTTTTGTTAAAACAAAAGCTGCTATGGTTAAAGTCTGTTTTGATATCTGCAAGAGAGCTAATTAAAATAAAATAAGGAAAGATGGTCTTCTGGCAAAGTGAAACTGGAGCTCACAAGAGGTTTAGTTCCAGAGTAGCCAGAGAAGTCTAAGTTGTGATCTCACCACTGGTCGGCATGAAGAGCTTCTCTATACAGAAATCTTAGAACTGACTACCATTAATGCTTAGTTTACTGAGAGATGGAAACATATTGGATAAATGAAATCTATGAATCATGTAAATGTATGTCAGTCATTTATTTCAGTCTCCTCCCCCACAAAAAGCCCTTTTTCTTGCTACCAAATAGACAGAGGTTTTTCAGTTTCTGTGACTTTCTTTGCCATTCTGGTGAAGAAGCCGATGACCACACAGTAAAATATCTAACAATCTGTATGTCATTAATTGAAACTATTTAAAACTTCTGTGTGTTTGTGCACACATGCATACAGTTTCACAGGCTGTGCTCCTGTGTGAGTGTATTTATATGCAGGCATATATCTGTGTATGTAAGGAGAGAGGCAGACAGATTGGGGACACACAAAAATAGTGTAGTCATTTTGGGGTGTAGGTACAGTGAGAAGTTTTTATTTTCTTTATTGTACTTTGATGTATTTCCCAAAATTCCTGTGTGCTTTTATAATCAGAAAAGAAATATCATATAAAACAATAAACTTGATCAGTATGATTGTTGCATGGGTTTTTCAATTTGTGAAAATTCACCGAGATGTACACCTAAGATCTATGTACTTTTCTGTATGTATGTTGTATTTCACTTGTAAGTTTTACTCTTCCCAACCCATATGAGGGAGCAGGAATCTGATTAACCAAAGGGCATCTCTAACTGATGGGCTCAGAAAAAGTAAGTGCTGTACTGTGGAAAATCCTTTCTAATTTAGCCACTCCCCTGTCAACACCCTGCTATCTCTCCCGCCCCAGGCGCCCAATGCCCAATGCCCAGGTAACTAGGTTTCAGCAAGAAGAGATACAGCCATATCTTCTCTTCACTGTCCAGATCCACAAAGAAAGCTATTTCCAAAAAGAGACAGAAGGAGCAGAGCTTTCTCTAAGGAGGTCCAGCAGAGGGAGGGAGGAGATTGAGCACCCTCCTGAGGGGCTCCTGGCACAGGAAGCACCAGCTGGCTCTTCACTTCCTCTCCTTAGAAGGACTGAGAGAAAGAGGGCAATGGGCCCACACTGGCACCTTCTCCGGGTCTCTGGGGACAGTGGAAGGGGGGCTAGGGCCACCAGCCTGTCTTTCTGTCCTCTCACATCCCTCCTGCTGTCCTTTCTGGCCTGCAGGGCACAGTGGGGTTCTCTTGGCTGGATGAGGGATCTTCCTGGTGCCTGCTGGGATGGCTTTCTTCAAGCTCCATAAAAGGCCCCTTAGAAGCTACCTCCGGAAGAGAACCCAGTTTATTAAAAGGTGACAAGTAAATAATTTGAAGCATAGTTTGTGATTATAAAATATTTATTAATGTGCCATTTCATAAAGTAAGAATTGGCAAATAAAAATGTCAATAAGGCAATTCTATTATTTTAGTCATATTTAAATTTCCTTTTGAAGAGAGGATAATGAGAATTTTCAAGAAATTTCTATACTGCTGTTTTCAGCAGAATTAACAATTACAAGTTGAAGTCCTTCCTATGTTTCTTTGCTTAGAAACTCATAGTTAAACTATTCCTAGGTTCACTACCTTGATGCAGGCATGTAACCAGATTAGCAGATGTAGAATTGAGAGTCATTTATCATACTATTTTAAGCACCGCAAAGAAGGCTCTGCTCCTTCAGATGCATGAATATTTGACATTACATGGGTTTATTCTCTATGGAAATATTCCAGGTAGGCACTAATTTAAAATAAAACAAAATTTAAGCTTATGAAAGCATTCGTGGTCTCTTTGCTGGGAATGAAAGCTTTTTTTTGCTAAAAGTTGCTGACGGAATGGCCTATCTCCTATTTATGCCCCATACATTCCTTGTTTACACTGTAGTTAATCATCTGTAGACTTACAAATCCGCCATGCCAAGAATTTAGTCATAAGACAGCATGCCACAAACCTGGGGCACATTTCTTCCACTTCATCCATCTGCTCTCTCACAGCCTCTACTTCATATATTTTATCACAGGATGTTCCTGTATTACTTGTAATTTCCCCAATAGAAAAAGGAAATACACATGCACACAAAAACCCATTAGCTCTCCAGCAAATATTTAGACAGAAGAGGAAAAGCTGCATTCCTTTTAATCCTCTACCCACCAAAGACCACCGCAGCAGCCTCAGCTTTTTGAAACCACTCATCTGGCAGCAATTTTTCTCAAGCAAATAAGCGCTTCAGGCTGCAATCCACTATCCTGTCCCCACTGGTCTCCTGCAGCCTCGATGCTATATACAGGCTCTTTGCAAAAAGAATGTTTAAAAATAAGGCCAGATAGTATCTGATAAGGTAATGTCCAATGTGTATTTTCAAAGGCTATGAGCCATATCTAAAAGCAAAATTTAATTTTTTTTTTCTCACTCAATACAAAAGATTAAATCTGTAAGGGAAAAAGGCTGCTCATTTAGAAGTAAGAATTATAGATTCAGTCCTTGTGGCCTGAGTCACTAGAGCCAAGCCCCCACCCCCATCTCTTGCCACTGCCCCTGCCCAGTCTGGGTAGAGGATCAGGGTGAGGAGGGAAGATGGGGAGAGGGAAGGCAGGGGCTTTTACCAGACCCCTGTTTATTGTGAATGTTTCCTCTTCCATCTTTTTCAGGAGAATGACTTCCCGCTGCATTTGTCTATTTCATTTCAAGATGAAATAAGGCAGCACCACATAACCTAAACATTTTTGGTAGGCTAAATTTGCAGTATAAATTTCTCTTAGTTTCAAGTACTAGTATCTTCCACTTAATTCTTAAATTAAAAAATTCACAAACCAAGTCACTTCCTATGGTTTTACTTTTAGAGATTCTTTTTATTGTATTATTACTATGGCACTTACTAATGTCCGTATTTTGAGACTTGATGTTAGTATCTGCCATTACTATTGGTTTATCAACAGGTTATTTTTCTTAAAATATAAGATTATAAAAGCATGATATATTCTTATATGCAATTTTATTATCAGGGCATAATACATATATTTAATTCTACTGGAACATGTCTCTAAACTTTTAGTACATAAGTTCACTTAATAACAGAATGCAGAAAAATTATTTTCACTTAGAAAGATTACACTATACCCAACCACTAATATGCCAAAGAAGTGGAGAGGTGACCAAAATGACTATATATGTGCTTAGCTTGAGTTTATAGTCATATGTCACCTAATAATGGGGATACATTCTAAGAAATACTTCATTAACACCATTTTTTCTTTGTGTGAACATCACAGAGCATCGTTACACAAAGCTAGATGGGACAGAGGGATAGTCTATCACACACCTAGATAGACTCTATGGTAGAGCCTTTTGTTCCTAGGTTACAAAGTTGTACAGCATGTTACTATACTGAATACTAAAGGCAGTTGTATCAGGATGCTAAGTATTTGTGTATTTAAATATATTTAAACATAGAAAAGGCAACATGTTGCACTACAATGTTACAATGGCTATGATGTCACCACTAAGTGATAGAAATTCTTCAAATCCACTATAATGGTATGGGACCACTGTAGGATACACAGTCCGTTGTTGACCAAAATGTCACTATGAGGTGCATCACTGCATTTATCAATTTTATTTATTGTTATTTCCTAATTGCTAAAATTTTGGCCACTTAAAAAATACGGTTTAGCCAGGTGTAGTGGTTCAAGCCTGAAACCCCAGCACTATTGGAGGCTGAGGCAAGAGGATTGCTTGGGCCAGGAGTTAAGAGACCACCCTAGGCAACACAGTGAAACTTTGTCTCTACTAAAATTAAAAAGCCAGGCACAGGCATGGTAGTATGCATCTGTAGTCACAGCTAATTGAGGCGGAGGCAGAAGAATCGCCTGAACCTAGAAGGTCAAGGCTGTGGTGAACTATGATTGTGCCATTGCACTCCAGCCTGGGCAACAAAGCGAGATCCCAACTCAAAAAACATATATAGTTTAATGTTTCATTCATCAAAAGTTATGCCAATTAAAAATAATGAGGATTACTCAGAGACATGCTGGGGATAAACAGGCTGGGCTATAAAATTTCAGGCCAAAACAAATCAAGTACCTAATTCTAATCTGAATAACCAAGACTAGAACATATAATCAATCCTATGAGTGACTTTATCTCTCTCATCTTCTCTAATTCCAGGATCGAACTATTTTTCTAGAAAAACATAAAAACCCTGGGGTCATCATCTCTATTTACTTCTTGGTTTTCGAAATAATGACATAAAATCATTAACCATCACAAAACTATTAAAAAAATGCTACAGGCCTGAATCCAAAGGGTCTCAAAGAAACAGGGCAGTTTTCATGATATGGACACCCTGGG